GGGACGGGGGGGAAAGGGGGGTGGACGGGAAGACGGCACCAGCCACGCCACTGTTATCTCCACGAAGCTGGGAATGTGGCCCCGCGCCCAGGCGGCTCTCGGTGGGCGTGGGGATGGATACATCCAACATAGACGCTGACAGGGCTGGCAGCCAAGTGCCAGCGGCTTAAATTAAAAATCGAGGTAGCAAACATCTGAAGTGCTTAGAAAGTAAATAAGTTCTGAAACGGAAGAGGAGGAAAGCCGAGCTGGCTGCTATGGGGAGCAGGCTCTGACCCAATTTAAAGCTGCGCCTACTGCCCTGTGGCCAGTCCTCCTCCACCTGCCCAGTGTGGAGGCAGCTGGGCAGGGCGGCCGGGGGCTCCCAGGGCTAGGGTCAGGCCTTCCCCTGGCCCGGCAGCAGCTGCCTCGGCACCCCAGGACCTGCACGCAGGGATGAGAGGTTTTTTGGTGCTGCCACAGTGACCTTGACATTTTCAAATGGGACAAAAGAGGAGAAAAGAGCAGGACCTTCCAAGACGGAGCAGAAAGCCTCCCTTTAAAGTGCATCACGCTTCTCCTCCTGCCGCCAGCTGGGACGCGGGAGGAACCACAGTTCACATTGCCAGGTTGATTTCCAAGCCGGGGCAGGCATACCGATCGACTGTTTCCAGGGGATGGGGAGGGAAGAGATTATTTCCTTCCTGCCTGGCTTTGTCAAGGCCCACCCCACCAGGAGGTATGTTCAACAGCAGCCAGGGGCAAAGAGGACACACCCTGCCCATCAGCCTGGCCCCACAGTAAGCGAGGGAGCCAGCTTGCTAACGGGGAAGGCAAGTCTGCCACAGAGCTGGGGACCTCGCTGCCACCAGCAGCAACCACAGACTGCAAAGCCGACCTCCCCAGAGCTGGTATAAGCGGGGAAACGCACAGGGGAAAGAGACTGAGGTCCAAGATAGTGGCATCTGATCTCCGTCCCCTTCCCTAGAGCGCAGCAGCCAGACAGATGTGCTTCGAGACCAGCCCCCCCTTGGCCTGTCCCATTCTTCCTCCATCAATGGACCCACCCAGGGGAGCACCATGTAACACCCCTGTCAAGTGACACACCACAGCACTGGCCATCTAAGCGGCCTGAGGGGCCTCGGGCAGTGTGTTGCCTTGCCCTGGCTCTCCCTGGGCTGCATACCTGAGAAGCAGGGGATTTTCTCTGGTGAGAAGTGCAGGCTCGCTCTCCCTTTTAACAGCTCAAACACAGCAGCTCGTTTGCAGTTCCAGTTACCCATCAAACGTCGGCTAGAGGCTACAAAAGGTATTTTAGTCTTCTGACTCAAGCGAGGATGTTTTTAAGCAGTCTTTGCACAAGGTCACACATCTCCTGTGAGGAGCGCTAGCCAAGTCTAGCGCAGCCTGCTCCGTCCCACCTCACGTCCTGGCGAGGGGAGAGCCACCGTCCCTGCCGCGCGCCCAGAGTCCTCCTTGGGGGGGAACACGATGCAGCCTCGCCTGGTGAGGCTGGGGGTGGTGGGGCAGGGCCTCCCGCCCGCAGGCAGAAACATCTGGCCGACTCACACCTCGCAGATGATCACTGGAAAATCCACATGAATGCGAGGGTGCTCTAGTTTCACTATGCCCTGGAAGGAGAGACATCGGTGAGCAGAGGAAACCATGAAACAACAGCCCCAGCCCTGTCAGTCACCCCGTTAGGACCGAGGATACGACGCCCTCAAGGAACAGGAGTCCCTGCAGCCGCCGTGACATCAGGTACGCCTGA